GTCCTGCAATTCCATAATACATCTCACTCCTGCACATGTCATCATCATCATCACGTTGTTCATCTCCTATGATGATGACCTCCCTTGCGTTTGGAGTCGGTGATCCTTCGGCATCTTATAAATGGTTATTTAGTTGGATTCCTGTGAGTTTGCTCGTGACTTATAAGACCTTGGCGAATGCCAGCACATGTACTGATTTCATGGCTCCACATCCGAGGTGGTTGTCCTCTTTGCCATGATCTCTCATGTAGTTCAACTCTTCTGGCAATATGTCCTGCCCAAGCCCACTTACTTTCATGGCCAATATGGTGTTCATGATTTGTGTTTGTTTCCTGTTTGTTGATTGGGTCGTTGAGCCAGGCTGGGTCGAGATTGGGCAAGGCCATGGCCCCACGTTTCACGCAGGCAACCAGAGAACACAAGACTATTGATATGTCGTGACTTGGCACTCCTAACAACAAACAAACTGCATATATTTAACAACACGCACTTTTTTTAAAAAAAGTCTAACAAATATATAATTAAGAATGAGGATTGAAATAACATTATTTAAATACGTTAAATTGTATCCATAATTATCATACTCTCTGGGACACTATTCTAAGATTGAACCATGTGTTCCTCTTTCTCTCCTAAGCCGGCATCTGTCCATGCTTCTTTGCACCCTTAGCAGCTTTTGTGCTATATTTCACTTCGTTTGTTTCCGTGTTCACGATGGAGACACCACAGAGGGTAAAGTTCGTAATTTCCGCTCAGACACATGACTATGTTGCTTTTCATTATCAAAGTCAGTTTTTCAAAAGCCCCTATCGTACATTATTCCCTCATTGCACAAGTCCATTGGTTCATCACGGACGATAACCCGATAGAAACTGAGGCATTATTGTAGCACAAAATATGTACAAGAAAATGAAATATTTAGAGGCAGGCATATCTTGAATAAACATTTTTTCTCGAGGAGGCAAATAGTGTTTATAATAATGTAATCGTATTTTCCCCGAAAAATGAAGGTGTCTATACCAGCATTTAATTAGATCAGGAATTCAGTGTAAATGTTCTTGGGCGCGGGCAGTATGAGATTGTTTTATCCAGGTGGGATTTTATCGCAAATCAATCGCACGCATCAGTATTCTGAGCTGTACGTTTGGAGAGACGATGGTCCCTCATTATCGCACAACACATCTGGGAAAACGAGTGCAAACATGGATATTAAGTGATGGCAATTTTAATCGACAGATATTAAAATAGCGACCAGACCCGGAGCCATGTATTGTGCTGTCACTTAGTGTGGGCGATTCATTGCCTATTTTTCATTCAATATATTGGTGCATCACGTTGACTCGAGCCCGTGACTTGTATCCAAAGTAACGCTAATGTCAAAAAGTAAATTGGGTTTCCATTAAAAAGTTAATTACAACTGTTGTGCATGGTTAGTCAATTTAACACGTAGGCTTTCGCGACCAATATTGTTCAAAATAATGTTTTGTGAGTTAAATCGCGTGAATATATGCGTGTCGTTAACCCTCCACCACCCGACACAGCCAGTTAGTAAGATTGTCACCTGAACAAAACGTACCAATTAGTTACTACTTCAGCACATGGGTGTGATGGAAAGTAAACCCGCAACATTTAGAATTTGAGTACAACGTTTCGCTGGTGATTACAAACAGGTTCATCAGGCGATTTGACAGAATTCTGGTTGGAATCACCAGCGAAACGTCGTACTCAAATTGTAAATGTTGTGGGTTTACTCTCCATCACACCCATGTGCTATAGTAGAAGTGAATTGGCACATTTTGTTCACGTGACAAACCTCACCAATTGGCTGTCAGACGGTGATGGGTTAACGACACAATCATATTAACACAATCTAACCCAAAAACATTCATCATGAATGTTATGCATGGGTGACATGGCACACATTTTAATCCTTAATTACCTCAATCCAAAATTCACTGATATTGCCACAATTTCTTGCGACAGCTAATGTTGTTTTTAGTTTCCATGGTCCTAATTTAATTCAGCGAGCAGCGATTCACGAATCACAAACAATAACTGCTGCTCCCTGATTGACCTGATTTATTAATTGTTTCAGCCATCAAGTCAGTCTCCTACAGAAAATGTCACCAGGGCTCAAGGACATCAGCCAAACTGGATGCACCTAATCTGAAGTCATTCGTGAAAACTCTGCATGCCGTGGGGATGCATCGTCAGATCATCTCACTGAATACATTTTTTTAAAATATATTGACTTGGCGAATTGTGACAGCCAATCAGGAGAGCCCGGTGTAATCCCATCTAACCCTGCTTCATTTGCAGTGGTGGTAACTTACGGACCGCGTCTTCACGAAAGATCATATTCATCTCCCGATGTGCAATGCAGAGCAAGATAATGTACTTACGCGTGAACATGTGATACCTTGAACCCAATTTTCACGAGCTTTACGAAATAAAAAAAGTTGAACAGACTCCCGATTGAGATTACAAAGCATCAAGTGTGAAAGTAGATAACTGTGAACGTGTTTACGTTTAAGATATTGCCATCATTAACTTGTTTTTTTTAAGCATGTATAATTTATGATACGTAAGCACATTGCTGCCGCTGTCGTCTGCAGGGCTGAAGTCGCGCTTGAAAAAGGGCTGTGTAGCTCAAAGGGCTTCTCCAGGGAAATAGACTTCTGATTCTGAATGCAAACGACCGCGTCAATGTTACCCCTTGCATTTCGAGCCTCTTACCACCGCTATGCATTGCTTAGAGCTGACAAGTGACAACAGAGTGTATTCTTCCCAAAAATGCTAAACTATCCTGCATTTTTTTACAGTGAACGCTAACACTCAATTTAGGATGGAATGAGTACAATGCATTAGGATTTAGATAGCGTCGAAATACATCTCAAAACTAGGCAAACTGCCTAAACATTAAAATATCCAATCGTGATCAGCCCACCTAATTTGTTTAAAGCTTAGGGATAGCTCAGTACATCAACAGTCTCCGAAGTCGTAAGTTGTAACCGTGAGCTCAAATTGATTTGAGCTATACGTTACGAATCCCTCTAAGGTCAGTCAAATGAGCACCTGCCATAGAATATTGAATTTCCACCATTGTCTCACAACTCCCAACACAGATGTATGTATGTTGAACTTTGATTTAAAGCTTTCGTGACTGCAGTAATTCATATTCTTAGCTCTTTCGGTAAAGTCACGTTGAAGGGAAACAATTAAATAATAAAAAAATATATAAAACAATAAAATTCTCACGTTTCGACCATAACACAAACGGTCGTCATCAGGTGTGTCGGTTTGCATTAATTTATTTTTAAACAGTGTATTTATTTATTTATAAAAACCGTCAGCGCCACGCGCAGCGATTTGACAGTTTATTTATAAGGACGAATCCATCTATGTTCTGAAAAGAGGAGGGGGGAGACGAAAAATTAATGTATGCTGTCTGAAAGCCACTGTAAGCGTGAACAATCAATTAAGACCTGAAATGGTTTATCAAATCTTTCCAATGATTGCTAAGCCAGAATCCACCGACACACCTGATGACGACCGTTTGTGTTATGGTCGAAACGTCGTGAGAATTGTTATTGTTTTATATATATTTTATTATTTTATTGTTTCCCTTCAACGTGACTTTACCGAAAGGGCTAAGAATATGTTGAACTTCTTTCGCACCATAGGTAGGCAACTGCGTGAATCAGAGGTGCGTGGGAAGAACACTCGAAACAGAGATGACCGTCACCAAGAGGCACATAGCAGAGCATCGTGAGACTTGCAGCCAATGACGTAAGGGAACTTCATCACATGGGTTTCAATAATTATCGAGGCTCTAGCAGCAGCACAGTGTAATCGATCATCAGCAAGGCTCAATTTCTCACACGGTATGTTTCGTAACGTTGCTATGGCTGGCTTGGAAGCAGGGGATCATCGGTGTAAGGCACTACCACGAGAGTAAGCGTGCCTGTCCATGCACTAGCTGCCTCTGTGGATGTGCAGGCTTTGATTTTAACATAGCTATTTCTGTGACCAGTCACAAGCTAATCCCTCAACTGTTTCAATGCTAAATTCTCCTGTTTGATATGTAAACCCCCTTTGTCAAGGTGCCTCACTTCTCTCAACCAGCTTAAAAGACGCTGCGAATCTTAGCAGCGTTCGTTGAAGCTCTGTCGTCCCGACAGGTCTGTTCCTTTCACCTGAAGAAGGCCACTTGTGTTGTGGCCGAAACGTCGTGAGAATTTTCTTGTTCTATTTTATTATTTTATTCTCATTCTACGCGACTTTACCGAAAGAACCAAAGAAGATGAACACTATCTGTGGTCGTGTGGAATGTTTTTTCCGGGCCCTCCGTGTTTGACCCCTCCACATTTAGAATCAACATGCTTCTTAGAGCATTTGGCTGCTATACATTTCCACGCGATAAGCCAATTCGTCGAACTATCGTGTGTGGCCAGGTCGCTTCTGAAAAAGTTACCTATATAGCTCAGTGGGCCTTACCTGGTAACAAAAACATTGGCGATCGTAGTTATGTTATTGCACACGATATTACTGTGGTATAGATGTTACGCATCAACGTTTCACGTGTTTAAGGGCCGTCCATAAATGACGTCACGCGATTTTGGACGATTTTTGACCCCCCCCCTTCGTCAGACGGCGTCACAAAAAGTCAGACCTCCCCCTCAAATATGACGTCACAAAGCTCTGCCCCCCCCCCCGTCAAAAAAATATAAAACATGCTTCAAATCGCTTTAAACTATTGTCATTGTAGTGCGTATCTAATGTGGCGCTGCACTCTGATGTTGTAGGAGAGAAACATTTCTTAAAAAGTCAATTTAATTAAGTAGAACGTGTTGTCTATATTTATTTAAAGTTGCGCATTTTTACGTGACGTCACATTTCTCAATCAACCCCCGCCCCGCCCCCCACCCAGGTGCGTGACGTCATTTATGGACGGCCCCCTTATGAGCGCGGTGCCGCGTGCCCTGGCAACGCCTCCTCACCAATTCGTTGCGTTCGTCCGCGAGCAGCGTGTTCCGATCCTCCAGCTTCCGCACGACGGAGCCCAGCTCGGCGATTTTCATCTGAAACCTCCGGGCGTCCCTCTCGTCCAACTGATGCTCCTGGAACAAAACACAACTGCCAATATCCGTCTCGCAGAACCCAGGGGATTTTGTGGGGGGGGGGGGGGGGGGGGGGGGGGTGAGGAGACTTGACGGGGTGGGTTGGGGGTGGGGAGGGGAGCCGCACGACCAGAGAGGCTTAACCGAGAAACTAGACTGGACGCAAACCCCCAGCTCGGAGCGCCGATTTCAGAAGACCCGTTGAACACCGTCGGGGGAAAGTTAGAATCTTTAGATTGCAGGAGGAGGAATCCGATGAGCTATGAAGCTCTTTTTTTTTAACCACAGATGTCCAGTAATGGGCACGGGGTCAGCGAGTTACAACAAGCAAACAATGCCAAAAAAAACTATAGGAACGCAAAATATAGAAAATGGTAAGCAAGTAATTAAATATAAGTAAATGATAAATGACAACATTTTTTTTTTATATAAGTCCGATTATATCAAGATTGGGCAAGGCAATACAAACAACAACCAACACAGTCCCAGACCACACCAGGATAACACCACACAGAAGCAGTAGTCCCTCAATACAATGGCACGTTAACTTTGAACAATCGGCACACAGGTAATGATCAAAGTTAAAAATCACATTTGCAAATGTGACTGTATCCAGCACACATTTGTATATGGATGCCAAATACCTTGAAAAGAATGAAACGGCCATTTCAAAAAAATCTTAGTAATTTGAAACGTAAAAAGAAACCAAAATCTTCATAAAAATGCAATGTTACTCATATTGTGAAACCAATTAAGTGCACAGTACGCTTAGGTGTACATTTATAAGTGCAGTCATATTGAGTAGTGGATAAAATGTTTCGAGCGTCCGGAATGAAATGGACATCAACCTAACAACGGCAACTTTCCACGCGCATACGTAGGCGGTGGCGGGGTCGCTATTGAAAACAAAGCTGAATGTAAGGTTCCTGAGAGTGCGTGACACAGTACAACATATATATCCCATCCCCCAAAAAATATAAACCACCCAGTGAACACAGACACACGCGGTGCGCCATGGCCTAGCGGTAGCGCATTCGCCGCTCGGTGCACAGGTTCACGGCTCGAATCCGGTGGCTGCCCTGATTAATATTGCTTGTTTAATAACCACGGTGATAAACGTTATTATGCGTCGTCTGCTTCGCAATGGGCATACAAAAAAAAATCACCGGACAGTAGGCCACATTGTGCCGGCATCAGGGTCCAAATTTACCTGCAAAATTCTTAATAGCAACATTGCCCTGCTATTTGCAGGTTATAATTAGTATATATTTGGCATTCGCACCACTGTGTTTTTACATATTATTGTAATATTATGTCCACCTGTATGCATACCTTATTGTTAAATGTACGTTTAGTATACAGAGACGGTGACATTATACATACACGCACACATGACACATACGGTACTTCTACAATGCACATGTACAAATGGGGTGGAAGAAGTGAATTAGTGAATTAAACAGGAGTCGTTGCTGTGCCGGAGGGCAAGGCATGCGTCGAGATCATCGCAAAGTCCTACGGATCCCTCAATTCCATCTGGAATGTTCACCACTGGCTCAGGACAGCATCGGTGAGCTTTGTCAACTTCCCACGAGTGTGGGAGTGGAAGCGTAGGGGGGATACTTTGAATTAACCTTTCGGCTGTTTAAATTCATGCTTTTAAATTTGTTTTGTGATGTGGATATTCACCTTCAGGGGGCTTCTCCAACAGCGAGAGTCACCTTTGTAATTTGTGTAATAAAGAATTAAAGCTTTCGTGACTGCATAAATTACTCATTGGTTTTTTTTCGGTAAAGTCACATATATAGAAATACCATAAAATTATATTAAAAATTTTCTTAAGTTTGTTGAATTCTCGTCTCTCATCTTCTTGTTGTATTTACCTCCGTGCAGTTTAACGCTCTCTCTGTGTTGCGTTGATGTCACCCTATGTGCTATTTGTTTTTTACACCTGATGAAGATCGCTTGTGTTGCGGTCGAAACGTCGTGATTGATTTATTTTAATATAATTTTATGGTATTTCTACATACGTGACTTTACCGAAAAAAAACAATGAGTAATTTGTGTAATCTCCATGACCGCCTTTTGGAGTCCTAAACAAATACAGGTCGATCCATTTATAGAAACTCTAAACGATTTCTAATGAACCCTCTGACTCTCTCCTCACCAGGTGCTTGAACGTTTGTTAACGCGGTGCTTCCATATCGGAGGAGACTGTTGTAAGATTTAGCAATTTTACTGAGATGAGTGGGAGTCACAAAGAGGGCTCTCAAACAAATGCTTTTTTTTCCTCTGTCACTTCTCCAGATTATTTTGGTGGCCGATTAATATAATTGGATCGTTACTCTTTAGTTCTATTGGGTAAAGTCACGTAGTTATTTTATTTTCACCTACGTGACTTTACCCAATATAACCAAAGAGTATGGATCCTAGCAGTCACGAAAGCTTTAAATCTAGAATTGGATCGCCCTGTGTATGGCTTTACACCACCTGTGATAAAAATTCCCCCAAATATATAGATATTTTATTATATAACCACAGGCAAGAACTTCACCCCCTGAGTGTACAGGCAACCAAGTTCAAACAATTCACGTGGATTATAAAAAAGGGGCCTCTGTTTTACTACCTCCTATTTAATGCACTCAACTGACAAGCCCAACTAACACACAGGAACATAACGACATTCGCATTATTTCATTGGTTTGTAAAAAAAATTAAAATCAAAGTGAAACAAAGCACGAAAAAAACAACACATGCCCCACGGTTGTTCAAAGGACGCTGAAGTGCACCGAGTTGTATAAAAAATATAACGATTTACCTAAGAAGTTAAACGTAACGGAGACGTTTTAAAATAATTTTGACTGGCAAGTCGAAGTGTTTACGAGCTTGCAACGGCTTTGGGTTCAAATTGTGTCCTCCAAATGACGACGCGAGGTGCAGGGGAGGCTCCCAGGCTCGATCCGCTTGCAAATTAAAAGCCACAAGTTGTGTTCCGTGCAGACGTCCAAACAGCAGAAGGTAATCGTAACAAGGATAACAACAACAATAATTGTTTATACTACGGCAGCAGTGAATCCTTGCGGCGAGTGAAGAGGCATGCACGTCCGAGCGGGTTGCAGGATGAAGCCAGACACAAGAGACGTTGTGCCGTGTCCACAACGGAATGTTAGGAATGTTCATCAGCAGTGCCGGCCGGTGTGTGAATTTATAAACACCGTGCTGATGGGGGCACAGAAGTGTGCGGTGGGGGAGAGAGGAGCGGGGAAATGAGGATGGAGGTTGAGGGGGGGAAATAAACAAGGTGGTCCAGATGTCTTGTGATCCACGTTTCATGCTCTAAAACGTATTTTTTTAAAAAGTAAGGTTTATTTAAAGCGGAAATGAATATGCAAAAGAAAAAAAACAATTGGGAGTCACAAGACACCTGGACCACCCTCTAGTTCATTATGGTTATCTTCATCTGAAGAAGTACCTCGAGCAGAGCCATCCCAGGGTACGGCGAATGGGGACGACTGCCCCGGACCCCGCACGTTGGGGGGGGGGGGGGGGGGCTGCACTTCGGTGTCAGATGTAATACTTCCGGTTTAGTGTAAAGGCGTTCTGGGGGTGATTTGTCCCGGGTCCTGCACCCCCCTCCCCCCCCCCATGGACGGCCCGTTAGACTAGATTGCGCGTGACAAGTTAAACTGGAATATCGCGGTGTCGTGAGCCACACGAAGGATCCCGGGGTGGTGGCCGGGTTGCTACGCTCGAGGTTTTTCCCCGTGAAGCGTCGCGTCGGGGCGTGAGCTACTTGGCGATGCGTTCCACCGTTTGGTCACCGTCTCCACGCTCACGATCGTTACGACGGTTCGAGGGTTCGTTTCCCTTCATTTGTTTTGTGTCTCACGGCTGTGGCATGGCCCTGTCATCATCACGATCCATGGACAGGCAATCCCGTAGGTGTCCACGGCACATTTCGTAATTTGTTTCCAGTTTCCTCTGTCTCGTGCCAATATGCTCAAGTCGTGGCCACATCTTCCTGGCATAAATCTCCTTGCCCGCCGTCAAGCCATTTCTCTGCGAGGTCTTCCTCTCCCTCCTGGCCCCACCGGCCCATAATCACGAGCGGCCGCTGTTCATGAGCGTATTTCGAGTTTTAAAGCCCCAAAAAAATGTTGGATGTTTTTGTTGTTGTTGCCGTTAATTGCCTTAGGATTGTCAAAGCGAAGAGCAGAGAACCGCTGTCATCCGTTGTGAAACCCACCGCTGCTGGCAGCAGAGTATTGTGTCACTTTAAATCACAACACGAGAAGAAAAACCACAAACTACTCCCAAAGGTGCCTCATCGATCACATCAACAACACAGCACTCCTTTGTACGATGTATGAGAGCGTGTTGCTTCTTCACCGTACGACCTGGGGTAAATCGAATTATAATTCAGCAAAAAACAGTAATCTGCACGGTGGATATTGGACCCCAACTGCTTGGCGTGGCCACCTGGCACTTAACAATCTTTGGTGATGATCAATGAGCCACCTAAATATTACTCTCATACATTTTGTTCGAAGCACGTGACATTACTACTTTTGTGAATTGGCAGCAGTTCGGTTAATTTCACTAACGAAAGCGATGACAGTTTACTCGCTCTTGTATTTCTCCACAGTATATTACAAGGCAAGAGGAGACACTAAACTAAACAATGTATTTTTCTTTTACCAGCTAAGGCTCACGAAGTTATGTCGCTCGTTTTCAGAAGCGACCTGGCCACGAATGACAGATCAACGAAGTGGCTTACATCACGTGGACACTTTTAGTAGCCAAATACTCGAAAGGCATGTGTTCTAAATGTGGAGGGAAAAACTGGAGGACTCCAGAGAAAAAATCAACGCGGAGAACGTGCAAACTAATGAATAATCAGGGCCGAATAATGATGAAAGTCTGCGTGGCACACTTTGTTTGCCGCTTATGGCTCGAGCCCAGTGGCCGCCCTGGTTATTATCTTATTTTATATTTATATA